GGTCACGTGACAGGACCGCGCTGTGGGAGGATTCTGTTGCGCCTCCGGAGGGAGGATTTTTGATTCTTCTGTCGTCTTGTCTATCGCAAAACAGAGTTTACATGTATTTTCCTTTTTTCTTAGCTTAAGAATTGAAGACTGTGGCTGGATTAGACCTGGTTGTATGGAAAGGGGAATGAATAACTACAGTGGAGCGAGTCCTCCCGCGAGAGTCGAGATACTACCATGCTAGTCCCGACTCTGCCCCAAATGCCTGGACTTTGGCTAAGTCACTTTTTCATTCCGCGGGCTGTTTACCGTTGGTAAAAGGAGAGGGTCACCCACTCTCTCCACAAACATTTGTTGAGTCATTGATTATAGCGGGAACAAGACAGGCAAAGTTCTTCCTGAATTCTGGTTGGTGATGGATAATGGAAACAACTTTGTTGAGGTTCCCAATGTGGCCTGCACTGTTCTCTTTAGATGTTTATGGTTACATCAAAGAGAAAGTCACTGTGCTAATCTTTTTTTTTCTTTCTTTTTTCTCAGGGTCTCACTCTGTTGCCCAGGCCGGAGTGCAGTGTCATGATCAGGGCTCGACCTCCCGGGCTCAAGCAGTCCCCCCACTTAAGCCACCCAAGTAGCTAGGACCACAGGTGCGTGCCGTCGCGCCAGGCTTTTTTTTTTTTTTTTTTTTTTTTAGTTGAGTCAGGGGTTTTACCATGTTATCCAGGTTGGTCTCCAACTCCTGAGCTCAAGTGATTCTCCCGCCGCGGCCTCCCAAAGTGACTAAATCACCTACCCCCCTCCTCCTTCTCTATCATACACATGCCAACTAGAAAATAAGTTCTATATATACATCAGAGCCTGCCCGTCTTATTCACCTGTATCCCCAGAATCTAGAATGGTGCCTGGCATAGATAGACATAATAAATATGTGATGACTGAAAGAACCAGAAGAGACTGCCAGGAGGAAACAAGTCCAGCAGTTTTCAGACAGTTTTGGTCTCAAGACCCCTTTACACTCCTAAAAATTATTGAGGATCCCAAAGTTTTTGTTTATGTGAGTTAAGTCTGCTAATATTTATCTGATAAGTTAAAACTGAGACTTCTAAAAATCAATTCATTAAAAAATAAATTCATTACATATTAACAGAAATAATCTTTATTAAAACTAATACTCTATTTTTTAAAATAAGGAATAAATTAGTAAAAATAATGGCATTTTACTTTTTAGCAAGTCTCTATATATATATATATATTTTTTTTTTTTAAGACAGTGTCTTACTCTGTCACCCAGGCTGCAGTGCAGTTTCACAATTACAGCTCACTGTAACTTCCGCGTCCCAGGCTCCAGCAATTCTCCCAGCCAGCCTCCCAAGTAGCTGGCACTACAGGCCTGCACCACCACACCTGGTTAATTTTTTGTAGAGATGGGGTCTTGCCATGTTGACCAGGCTGGTCTGGAAGTCCTGGGCTCAAGAAATCCACCTACCTTGGCCTCCCAAAGTGCTGGAATTACAGGAGTGAGCCACTGTGCCCAGCCTTTCAAGTCTCATTAATATCCAGTTTACCTAACCTCAGTGTAAATTTCCTGAGGGCATGGTCAGTGGTATTTCTCTTGCAGTCCCCCTGGAGTACTGCACAAAAAAGCACTAACATTTTTTGGATTTTGCTGAAAACCCATCACTTCATTTATAAGATGAGGGAACACTGTTTTAGAAAAATTACCAAGAACAAGATAATGTATGTAGAGGTTTAATACAGTGCCTCGTGTAGACTGAGTTGCTAAGGAGTGACACGATGTAACCCCCTTTTTTTAATTTTTAGAGGTAAGGTCTCACTATGTTGTCCAGGCTAATCTTGAGCTCCTGGCCTCAAGTGATCCTCCCACTCTGGGCTCCCAAAATTCTGAGATTACAGGCATGAGCCATTGGGCCTGGCCTGATTTATGTTTTAAAATAATCTTTCTAGTCATACAGATAACAGGAGAACAAGTGGAGAAGGCAGGGAGACCAGTGAGAGTTATCTAGGCGTGCAGAGAGGATGGTGACTTGTACCAGGGCAGCTGAGACAGTGGTGGTGAGACTTGGGTCAAATAAACCATGATTTGTTTAACAACCAACTGGTTGGGAATAGAATGTTAGTGTGATTTGAATGTAACTTTTTTTGTTTTGAGAGGGAATCATGCCCTATCACCCAGGCTGGTGTTGGAGGGCAGTGGTGCAATCTTGGCTCACTATAACCTCTGCCTCCTGGTTCAAGTGATTTCTCCTGCCTCAGCCTCCCAAGTAGCTGGGACTACAGACACATGCCACCACGCCCAGCTAGTTTTTGTATTTTTAGGAGAGACAGGGTTCATGAAGTTCTTGGCAGCTAGATGCACGTTCAGTGACAACTGTTAAATTTCATCTCAGTCAGGCACAGTGGCGGCTCACATCTGTAATCCCAGCACTTTGGGAGGCCTATACAGGTGGATCACTTGAGGCCAGGAGTTCGAGACCAGCCTGGGCAACATGGCAAAACCCATCTCTACTAAAAATGCAGAAACTAGCTGGATGTGGTGGTGTGCACCTGTAGTCCCAGCTACCTGGGAAGCTGAGGCATGAGAATCGCTTGAACCCGGGAGGCAGAGGTTGCAGTCAGTTGAGATCACGCTACTGCACTCCAGCCTGGGTGACAGAATGAGACTATCTTCAAAAAAAAAAAAAAAAATTCATCTCAACCAGATTAGGTAAGCCACATGAAACCAGGGCCTGTGCTATGTTTTTTGTATCCCACACACTAGTAAACACAAGAGTTCCATTGTTCCTTTATCCATAAAAAGCCTTGACAGAAAGCCTTCTATCAAAGCCCGACTGAGGCTCTGTATCACCCAGAATAAATCTGTTTTCAGTTTCCTTCATAAGCCTGTAATTCCAACCCTCTGATTCCATCTTTCCTTATGAAGTGACTTCTGAACATGGATAACCAGGGAAAACTGTGTTTGCTCACTACACTTACCGGGTTTTAATTCTAATAAATACCACAAACATGCATGCTCATTTCCATTCCCTCTATAAACCAGTTTAGATATACAATATTTTTGCACGTCAAATTTCTTTAATGTTAAAATTAACAGTAACAAAGAGCTTTTCCTGTCAAACATTTTCGAAGTTAAAAAAAGGGCACACATCCCATTGATGGATTAATTTGATTCATCGGATACAAAAGTAAAAGAGGAGAGCTTTGTTCTAAGTCTGCACCAATGGAATTATGTTGATTGGTTATAGTCTCAGGAGGTGAGCAAACAGTTTTACCCATAGACAGTCTTTTTTTTTTTTTTTAAGAGATGGGGTCTTGGTCTGTTGCCGCAGCCAGAGTACAGTGGCTCATAACTCACTCATAGCTCACTGCAGCCTCAAACTCCTGGGCTCACGCAATCCTCCTGCCCCAGCCTTCTGAGTAGCTGGGACCTATTTATTTATTTAGAGATAAAGCCTCGCTGTTGCCAGGCTAGAGTGCTGTGGCACAATCTTGGCTCACTGCAACCTCTGCCTCCAGCGATTCTCCTGCCTCAGCCTCCCGAGTAGCTGGGATTACAGGTATGCACCACCGCGCCCAGCTAATTTTTGTATTTTTAGTAGAGATGGGGTTTCACCATGTTGGCCAGGATGGTCTCAGTCTCCTGACCTTGTGATCCACCCGCCTCGGCCTCTCTAAGTGCTGGGATTACAAGTGTGAGCCACTGCACCCAGCCTTAAAATTATTTTTTTATAGAGACAGGGTCTCACTATGTTGCCCAGGGTAGTCTCAAACTCCTGGGCTCCAAGTTATCCTCCCGCCATGGCCTCCTAAAGTGCTGAGATTACAGGTGTGAACCACGGCATCCGCCTGCCTCCCCACCTGCTTTTTGAAACAGGTTTGTTTTTTGTTTGAGATGGAGTCTAGCTCTGTCGCCCAAGCTGGAGTGCAGTGGTGCGATCTTGGCTTACTGCAACATCCACCTCCCAGGTTCAAGCAATTCTCTGCCTCAGTCTCCCTAGTAGCTGGGATTACAAGCATGTGCCACCATGCCTGGCTAATTTCTTTTGTATTTTTAGTAGAGATGGGGTTTCACCATATTGGCCAGGCTGGTCTTGAACTCCTGACCTTGTGATCTGCCTGCCTCGGCCTCCCAAAGTGCTGGGATTACAGGTGTGAGCCACCGCACCTGGCCCAAGACAGGTTATTGCTCTTTCACCCAGGGTAGAGTGCAGTGGCATGATCAGGGCTCACTGCAGCCTTGACCTCCAGGCTCAAGCAATCTTCCCACCTCAGCCTCCAGAGTAGCTGGGCTCAGCTGACAGTCCCTTTTATGATCATTTCTTTTATCAACACGGTGTTGCTGGCTTGAATTGTTTCTTTTTAAAATTTCATAAAATAGAGACAAGGGTCTAACTATGTTGCCCAAACTGGTCTCAAACTCCTGGCCTCAAGCAATCCTACTGCCTTGGCCTCTCGGAATGCTGGGATTACAGGCATTAGCCACTGTGCTTGGCCTGTGGTCATGTTTCTTACTTCAGTACTTCAGATAAATTCTATATCCATTCAAGTCACTGAACTGAAAAAGAGCATTGCGGTGTACCAGTGCAGCAGCCAGACCACCTGGCTTGAACTTTGAGCTACCAGTTACTTGCTCTGTGACATCAGTGGCATGTTACTAAACCTCTCTTGTGCCTCATTTCCCTCATCTGTCATATGAGGGTAATAATAGTACCTGTCTCATTGGGTAAGACTCAATAATTTAATACCTGAAAACACTGAGGACAGTGTCTGGCAGATGGTAAGTCAACGATGGTTAGCTAGTATCATTCTGACCGATTCATTTTGGAAATCATGTGCCAAGCCACTTTAAGTGATGAGGAACATTGAGAAAATACATAGACCACTGTGTGCCAATTTAATTACACAGTTCATATAACATGGCTACAAAGACGAATGATATTCCAATAAGTTAGTGGGTTTGTAGCAATATGTAAGTAAATATCAGAGCCACACCAGAGGGCACAAAAGTTGGATTTATTGTTTCTGACAAGTGCATAGTAATTTTCCGTTTGCTCATGTTCCTAGCATCACAAATCTGAGGTACAATTTTGCTTATCAATTAAAAACATATACTCTGAAAAGTGATTAGGAAGTTCTAAAAGTTTTAATCATTTATAGAGTATCTTAAAAATCCTTGTCAAGTAAGATATTAACTTTACCTTTATAAATCTTTGTGTAAAATGAAAAAAAACTCAAGGCATACAAATTTCATTGTGTTCTACATTTTTAAATACCATCCTTTGTCTCCGTTAAAAGATTTTCATGAATTTATTCAAAAACCTTTTAAGTTCAACTGTCCAATTTAAGACAGTTCAGATTTTTGAGTATCTGAACTAAGCATTGTCTTGACTGAAACGAAGTAAGAACTCGATGAGAGTCCTTGTGGGCCTCCCGGTCATGCCTTTCCGGAGATAGGGAACCTCATCTTTGTTGGTCATCACGCCTGCTATGTCTAAATGTGCCCACTTAGGATGAGTCACGAATTCTTTCAGGAATGCTGCAGCTGTACATGCTCCCGCAGATCTGAAGAGAAAGACAAAAAGCACTTTACAACCCCATGTAACTGTGCACTGAGATCCCACATTCTTGTTAAGTACATTCTATAACCAGAGAACAAAAGTCAAGCTTATAGGACCTATTAAGATGCTAACCCACGTATCACTTTCAGAATATTTACTTTCAGATATTGCTTTAAGCAGTAAAGGATACATTCCATATCCCTTTTTGCTATGGTAATGAATTCCCGTATTTTCCATCTCTTTCCCTTAGCATTTACTTAAAATTACTGTTAGATTAGAAACATGCAAATTTTGAGACCCGGTTGAAGATATACTTGAAAATTAAAAAGCTTTAAAAAGCTTTTTAAAAGACATTAAAAAGCTTACAAGCACTACACCGAAAGGATATTAAATAGTTAAACCTTTTATAAGGGGATAAAATTGAAAATAGCTATTTTGGCAATCAAGGATGATTGTATAAATGTACATTTAGCTTATCTTACATACCTATATTTTCCAATGTTGTTAACATCAGCAAGCTGGCAATCTACAACCTGTCTTGTATAATGTTCGAAGAGAGGCATCCTCCAGACACGGTCCCCTGTTTCAATGCTGGCCTAGAAGAAACAGGTATGACAGGTGGAAGAGTGGATGAGGCGGTTCTGGGAAATTCATGGCATTAACATGCTCAATGCATGAAGGAAGAGTTGTTCTAACCTGTTACTCTAAAACATGAAACTATAAAATAGGATTCAGAATTGTGTCCACTCATTAAAAGATTTATTTTAGAACTATAAAAGAAACCAGGAGGCCAGGCACGGTGGCTCACACCTGTAATCCCAGCACTTTGGGAGGCTGAAGCAGGTGGATCATGAGGTCAAGAGATTGAGACCATCCTGGCCAACATGGTGAAACGCGGTCTCTACTAAAAATACAAAAAATTAGCTGAGCGTGGTGGCGTGCACCTGCAGTCCCAGCTACTTCTGAGGCTGAGGCAGGAGAATCGCTTGAACCCAGGAGGCAGAGGTTGCAGTGAGCCAAGATCGCATCATGGCACTCCAACCTGGCGACTGAGCGAGACTCCGTCTCAAAAATAAATAAATAAACAAACAAATAAATAATAAAAAGAAAGCAGGAAAGCTGTGAAGCAATTTCACAAATCTGTAGGGCATTTTGCTAAAATCATCAAACTACAATTACAGGCTTTGTGGGTTCATTAGGGTGAAAGAGTTCTTACGTGGCAGGTCACTTCAATGTGACAGAAACACATGACTGGACCTGTATCGCTGAAACCCTGAGACACAGTGACCACATTCATTCATTCATCATTTACCCACTCACTCATTCATCGTTTACTGAACTATTGAGCACCATCAGGTATGCTGAAATACTACTATCTGAGTCACCTAAGGGCCTACAGGCTAGTAGGAGAAACAGATACATAAACAGATTATTTAACTCACTGGTAAAAAGTCAAAGACCTAAAAGTGAAAAATCAAGAAGCAGCAATATAAGCTGTTATTTTAAGACATAAGTAAATACTAGATGAATCAGCCAAGGGTTGAAAGTGGCTGCCTTCTGGAAAACAGACTGTGGGCTGCTGATTGTTGATTTATGCACATATAACTGAGATTTTTTTTTAAAGCTTAAATGATTTTTAAAAGTCAAAACAACAATGTTGTGGGTGCCATGAAAGAGAGGGATAACAGTTACGTGGGAGGCCAGAGGAGAGGTTCCTAGCCCGGCCTGGAAGGAGATGATGGGGCTGAGTATTGCAGAGCTGGGAAAACTGGGCTTCACGAATGATGACATATATGAAGGGGAAGCAGTTTAGGGTGAAAATAAGTTTAGACCTTAAACCACCCTCAAGATTATATTTGGGGACATTTTATGTTTGTCCTCCACTAGCACCGAGTAAGCTCCCATTAATTACTAGTTGAATGAGTCAGCAGCCAGCTGGAGCTGTCTAGCACCACATGGGTACACAGAGGCTGGGGCTCAGGAGAGAGACGGGAGCCATCAGGCACATGTGTTGGCTGGAGCTTCCCTGTGAGGACTGTGTAGAGTAGAAACATCCTATATCCTTGAACTGAACACCAGCCAAAGGGCGGCCAAAGGGAATAGATGAAGAGAAGGACAGGAGAATCACCAGAGAAGGCAGCCCAAGAGGATTATCACAGAAGCTGAACCAGGTGTCAGGAGGCCAGAGTCACTTGGCCTGTCACAGAGACAGGCTGAGTTAGGCTAACAGTGGCGTGGGCAGTTGAAAACCAATGGCAGTAAGTGAGGGTGTGTGTGTGTGTGTGTGTGTGTGTGGAAATCGGGGTGACTGCTGGGAAGAGGCTGGCTGTGAAGGGTCATGGAGGGAGGCACAGAGCACAGGAGTCTGAAGACATCCTCATCGCTGCAGGGTGAACTCCCTTACATGACTCACGACACGCAGTCACAAACGCTGCTCCACAAAGCCATCTTCAAAGCCGTTTCTACCTCAGGGATTCTAAACTATGACCACAGCGTTCATGAGACATTTTCACAGGACTCTTGAGGCTACCGGAGGGGAGCAGGGGGTATCATCCCCTCCTTTAGAAGCATTTGTGGAAAACCCAATGCCACTGAACTCAATTTATTGTTGCAGTTCATTTTCAATTCAAAGGCAAACCTGCAGCATAAAAATCTCTAACACAGGGTTGAAGAAGTCTATCCTTCTAAGGCTAGGATAATTTATTCACCATCTCTACAATTTAGATATACAAATATTATTCCTACCTCGAAGAGTTTGTTCCAAAGCCAGGACGAATTGGTAAAGACCCCAGTGGCACCTGACCCCAAAGCTACATCCATGGCACCTGTAAAACACAAGCCCTCAGGTCAAGTGCAGTCTCTCTAGGCAAAATGGGCTCCTCCAGCCCGCAGACAGAAACCTTAGCACGTAACCTATTTAATGGCTTCCTCATTTTCAACAATAGATAAGCTTAGAAAATCTTTCCTGTAAATACTTACCATATTGTTATGTTTTTCAAGCCAGAATTCACTTAAATTATTAGGAAATGCACAAAAGGAACCTACTGAATTTGACCAATAATTGCATTGTAGGGATAACTGTTACCTATTTTTGACATTTCCTTCCAGACCTCTAAACCTTTTTTTTGAGAAAGGTCTCACTGTCACCCAGGCTGCAGTGTAGTGGTGTGATCAGAGCTCACTGCATGCAGCCTCAGACTCCTGGGCTCAAGTGATCCTTCTGCCTCAGCCTCCTGAGTAGCTGGAATTACAGGTAAATGCCGCCATGCCCAGCTAATTAAAAATTTCTTTTTGGGGCCGGGCGCGGTGGCTCAAGCCTGTAATCCCAGCACTTTGGGAGGCCGAGACGGGCGGATCACAAGGTCAGGTGTTCAAGACCAGCCTGGCCAACATGGAGAATCCCCGTCTCTACTAAAAATACAAAAATTAGCCGGGCGTGGTAGTGGGCACCTGTAATCCCAGCTACTCGGGAGGCTGAGACATGGAGAATCACTTGAACCCAGGAGGCGGAAGTTGCAGTGAGTCGAGATCACACCATTGCACTCTAGCCTGGGCGGCAGAGTGAGACTCTGTCTCAAAAAAAGAAAAAGAAAAAAAAAGAAAAAAAAAAAGGCCAGGCACAATGCCTCATGCCTGTAATCCCAGCACTTTGGGAGGCTGAGGCGGGCAGGTCACCTGAGGTTGGGAGTTTGAGACCAGCCTGACCAACATGAGAAACCCTGTCTCTACTAAAAATACAAAATTAGCCAGGCATGGGACGCATGCCTGTAATCCCAGCTACTCAGGAGGCTGAGGCAGGAGAATCGTTTGAACTGCTTGAACCCGGGAGGCAGAGGTTGTAGTGAGCCGAGATCGCACCATTGCACTCCAGCCTCTTGAGCAACAAGAGCGAAATTCCATCTCAAAACAAACAAACAAACAAAAAACAACTATTTCTTGTTGTACAGATGGGGTCTCATGTTGCTCAGGCTAGTCTTGAACTCCTGGGCTCAAGCAACCCTCCCATGTCAGCCTCCCAAGGCACTAGGATTACAGGTGTGAACCATCATGCCCAGCCCAACTTCTAAACTTTCATAAGAAACATTTAAGACCATCCTTATGTGTTCAAGCGTGTGTTCCTCCTTTTTTGAGGCAGAGTCTTGCTCTGTCGCCCAGGCTGGAGTGCAGTGGTACGATCTCGGCTCACTGCAACCTCCGCCTCCCAGGTTCATGCCATTCTCCTGCCTCAGCCTCCCGAGTAGCTGGGACTACAGGCACGTACCACCACGCCTGGCTAATTTTTTTGGTATTTTTAGTAGAGAGGGGGATTTCACCGTGTTAGCCAGGATGGTCTTGATCTCCTGATCAAGATCCTCATGATCTGCCCGCCCTGGCCTCCGAAAGTGCTGGGATTACAGGTGTGAGCCATCACGCCCGCCGTGTTCTTCCTTTTATGCTTTAAAAATTTATTCTATTCCTCTTTGGCTGGGCGCAGTGGCTCATGCCTGTAATCCCAGCATTTTGGGAGGCCGAGACGGGTGGATCACTTGAGGTCAGGAGTTCAAGACCAGCCTGACCAATATGGTGAAACTCCGTCTCTACTAAATATACAAAAATCCGGGTGTGGTGGCGCATGCCTGTAATCCCAGTTACTCGGGCGGCTGAGGCAGGAGAATGGCTTGAACCTGGGAGGCAGAGGTTGCAGTGAGCTGAGATCCGGCCACTGCACTCCAGCCTGGGCAACAGAGCGAGACTCCGTCTCAAAAAAAAAAAAAGGAAAAATTATTCCTTTTTTATAAACAAATGTTTGAAAGTCTTTTTAATGATTTAAAAATAGTCCACTGGATGGAGGTATCATAACTTACATACTACTGGCATTGAGGAATCTAATTTTTCAGCAATTTTAATCACATCTAAGTATTGCTATAAGACTTTGATATCTATTATCACTGCATTCATATTTATTTGTTTCATCTTTAGTTTTTTTCTAATTAGCATAGTTTTAAAAAATCAACTTAAAAATCCAGATTTGCAGATCCTCTTGAGAAGAGACAATCAGGTACAGCCATTAGTGCTGCCTCCTTTAGTTGTGGTATCAGCTCTCTGCAGTCTCCTTTGTTACTTGCCTGGCCCATCTGTAAGCACTGAGTCAAGGAACACGTCTGCTTCCTATGCATATCCTTAGGGCCCAGAAAGCACACTGCCTGGCATAAAGGAGTTAAGTATTGAAAGGAAAAGCAAACCTTACTATCCTTCAGTACCAGGACAAGCATTGAACCCACCACCATCCGTACCAGGACACGCATATGGAATGTCAGAGGAGACAGCACTGAAACTGGGGGAAATCTACAGTCTTCACAAGGTGGCATTTGCTCCCTGTAATGCAAAGTATGTCCAAGTTGCTCCTTAAATTCTTAACCATGTCTTTACATGAAACTGCTCATTAGCATCTCTCCCAAGGAAAACTGAAACTTGAAGATACTACTAACTAGTCAGCCCTCCGTTATCCATGTGTTCTGCATCTATGGAGTCAACCAAATGCAGACGGGAAATATTTTGAAGCAGGGGAGATGGCTGCATCGGTACTGAACACACAGACTCTTTTTTCTTGTCATTATTCCCTAAACAATACAGTGTAATGAATATTTACATAGCATTTATATTGTATTAGGCAGTATACGTAATCTAGAGATGACTTAAGTATACTGGAGGATGTACATAGGTTATATTTAAATACTACGCCATTTTACATAAGGGATGTGAGCATCGTGGGTTTGGTATCTGAGGGGGGATCCTAGAACCAATTCCCCATGCATACTGAGGGACAATATATACATATCCATTAATACTTTTCAAGTTAGTGGTTTTTTACATAATTATTCACTTGTCCTAAAAATATTTCAATCAACCCCCTAAGAGTCATCTGTCGGTTTTAAAATTTGTCACAGAAAAGATGAACAATCCCCTCAAAAAAGAACATGCCATCTTCTCTTAAAGTAATAGAAAATGGCAGGCATAAATATTTAAGGTAGTCCAGTTGGGACACGGCTCTAAAGATGATTTCATTATATATTTAAATAGCTTATTTTCTCTAATTCCAGAATTATTACCACCACCCATTTCAGAACTACTAGTAGCAGAGGCATAATTCCCATTTTCCTTTGCAAGGCACATTTGGAGCCTTGTGTTGTGATGCTCACTGATGGATGTTACCAGAATTGCTCATAGTCTGGAAGAAACATCAAAGCCCCAGGGAAAGTGAGGATAGCACCACAGTCACTCCATACTAAATTATGCCCATGCATTATGAAAATGAAGAGAAGCACCATGATTGGATGGCCATCCCCGAATATGTCACTGTTCCTACAATCTGGGGTATGGCCTGCCTTTCAAAGGACACTAACATCTGTTCAGTGTCTATGATGTACTGGGCCATGCACGTCAACCTGTATCGTCTCCTTTAATCTTTGCAGGCATCCTTCCTGTGAACGAGGTGTTGTTATACCCCTTTTATGGATGAGACAACTAAAGCCTAGTCCAAAGTCATGTGTTATTAAAAGTGAGAACAAGTTTTAAAATCAGGTCTTCTATTTCTGAAAGACTGTGTACTTCCTCCTATCAAGAGCCTGAGCTTAGAAACTGGTTCTTATTCTCCTCTTGGAACCCTAGCTTTTGGAACTCAGAAGGGGATCTATAGTATTTGGGGAACCATCACCTGGTGTGGTCTGAAAGCACACCCAGGTCACCCTTGGTTACTTAGGGCTTTTCCCACCTTCTCAACCCCTCAGACTGAGAAAAAAGTGGGGTAGAATGCTGCTATTAAGAATCTAGGAAAAGTATTTCCCAAGTGGTAATTATGAAAGTTATGTTTAAGTTGTAGAACTTGATGTATCTGATGTATCTATCCTCTGTGATTCCTCATTTACAGTAAGGGGGTACCTGCTTCACTGCCACTGCCTCCCCCAACCCCCACCCTAGAAGCTCTGCTTTTCAGCTTAAAGTGTTTGCTAAACTGAATAGGTAGACCAAAAACCATGGAAACACTATAATACCAGCTTTGAAAAAGAACTCTTAGCAATAGACTTATGGACTATTTTAGACCTACATATAAAAGGGAACATGATTTCTGCCAAAGTAAAGGCTCAACATGACCAGGGCAAGAATAAAACCAAAGGATAAAAAATGATCTAAATTTTCATCTTAAAAGTGGTAGAGTCTGACTTTAAGATTCAGAAATTAGTCATTCCTTTAGGAATCTATTCCTGGCCCTCCAGGACTGGTGGTGTCATAGCCTGTATTAAAGAGGCTTTCCAAAAATTCCCTCCAGCCTTTACAACTCTTCCAGGTAAATGGAATTGTCCCCAGCTACCAATGCTCAAAAGCGATAATGAACTTGCCTGGCTAACTGACCAGCAGGTGGCACAGCTGGGAGTTCCACCTGAGCCTGGCCTTAAAAGCACAGGCTTACCACGTGGTGTCACTTGTTAAATGAGGATCCTGCTACCCTGTAAATGTTTTTATTTCCCTTATAACGTCAAGTATAAAAGTCCGGGGGTGGGAAAAAAAAAGCTCTGAAAGCTCAGAGGATATCAGATACATTACAATTAGTTATAAAAAGTAAAAGAGGCCGGGCACGGTGGCTCATGTCTGTAATCCCAGCAGTTTGGGAGGCCGAGACGGCGGCGATCACGAGGGTCAGGAGATCGAGACCATCCTGGCTCACACTGTGAAACCCTGTCTCTACTAAAAATACAAAAAAAAATTAGCCGGGCACAGTGGCGGCAGCCTGTAGTCCCAGCTACTCGGGAGGCTGAGGCAGGAGGAATGGCGTGAACCCGGGGCGGAGCTTGCAGTGAGTGGAGATCGCGCCACTGCACTCCAGCCTGGGCGAACAGAGCGAGACTCTGTCTCAAAAAAAAAAAAAAGTAAAATGAAAGCTATGAGCTGGGGATTTATCATTAATCTTTTCAGATCTATATCAAATGATAATTGTAACCGACAAACCATCTCTTTAACATCATTTTTTTAAATTAAATAATTTTTTTTTTTTTGAGAGGGAGTCTCGCTCTGTCACCAAGCTGGAGTGCAGTGGTGCAATCTGGCTCAGTGCAACCTCTGCCCTCCTGGGTTCAAACGATTCTCCTGCCTCAGCCTCTCGAGTAGCTGGGATTACAGGCACGCGCCACCACAACCAGCTATTATTGTATTTTTAGTAAAAGACAAGGTTATTACTGTTGGCCCAGGATGGTCCTGATCTCCTGACCTTCATGATCTGCCCAACTCGCGCCTCCCAAAGTGTTCGGATTAACAGGCGTGAGCCCCCTGCTCCCCGATCTCAACATCATTTTTAGATGTCACTCTAGATGAGCTCATCTGGCCCACATGTATTTCTGTTTAAAGGTACAGCCCAGGCTGGGCACGGTGGCTCAGCCTCGTAATCCCAGCACTTTGGGAGGCCAAAGCGGGCCGAGATCACCTGAGGTCAGGATTCAAGACCAGCCTGGCTAACGTGGCAAAACCCCCATCTCTACTAAAAATATAAAAATTAGGCCAGTGCAGTGGCTCATGCCTGTAACCCCAGCACTTTGGGGAGGCCGAGGCAGGCAGACACCTGAGGTCAGGAGTTCTTAGACCAGCCTGGCTAACATGGCAAAAACCCTGTATCTACTAAAAATACAAAAAACACTGGGTATGTTGGCGCGTACCTGTAATCCAGCTACTTGGAAGACTGAGGCAGGAAAATCGCTGTGAACTCGGGAGGCAGAGATTGCCAGTGAGCCGGAGATAGCACTGACTCTAGCACTGACCGAGAGAGTAAGACTCTGTCGTTGTTTTTATCTAAAAAAAAACAAACAAACAAAAAAGGTACAGCCTGGAATGTTTTAAAACAACAAACCTAATATTCAAAACATTTTACAACTGCAGAACAATTCCTCTGGTGAAAGCTCTTTGAATGCCAATGGACTAAGCCAAATTTTAGCAAAATAACACCCAAGTATAGTGTGTGAAATCCATGCAATAAACAAGACTTCCTTCAAACAAAATCAAGGCAAGTGCGTGGTCTGACCTGTTAAGGTGGCAGCATTGAGGATGACCTTTGGGTTAAATGTGTGTGCGTAACAGAGCGCATCAGCCAGTATGAGCCTCCCCTCAGCATCAGTGTTATCAACCTGCAGAGGGTCAAAAACAGAAAGGTTAACAGCACGAGTAACGAATATAAAAACTAGACACTTGCAAGAGTGTTCGACAGAAAAGTTGGAAAAAGCTACTGTGACGTATGTCATTATCAAAACCATTCATATACTTCAATGAGAATATAGGAACATATCTAATCAGGAGAGCAAATATTATTTAATAATTCCCCAGCACCTTGGGAGGCAGAGGTGGGCAAATAGCTTGAGCCCAGGAGTTTGACACCAGCCTGGGCAAGATGGTGAAACCCCATCTCTAATTAAAAATAAAATAATACTAATAATAATATAGTAATCCCTGTACCAGAGCTGATGACTAAGGTTGATGACTTTGGAAGCCAAAATAAATAGAAAAATGTCTGGCCCACTTTATCCATAACTTTGTAACAAGAAGGGGAAAAATGTAAAGATTTCTGCAAATGGGGTTACAGAGCTTAAGAAGCTACAGCTACATGGCAGTCTCAATCCTAAAAATGAAAACTCTTGCAACTTCAGTAACACTTCCTAACTACATTCCCTTCTTTTAAATAGAGGTCCAGTCATTATGGGTGGCTTGTACACACACGCATGCATGTGCCACATGGAGGACCTGCTGCCACATCCCCTTGAGTGCAGGGCCCATGATGTAGGACAGCGTTTTCCACCTCAACAGCTAAAATGGATAAAAGTCACTCATAGCACAGGTAGATCCAGAAGAGAGCCCACAATTTTACTGCTTTGCCGCACTCTGCAGGGCTGGTGGCAAATTCACCGAAATGTGTGTGTACAGCATACCGGAAGTGGGAGGAACAATCCGTCTGGAAAAACATTCTTCAAAATTTCAAAAAGAGATACTTCTGCCTTTGCAAGAAAAGCTACTCAGGGGCCGGGAAAGGTGGCTCACACCTGTAATCCTTGCACTTTGGGAGGCCAAGGTGAGCAGATCGCTTGAGTCTAGGAGTTTGGGACCAGCCTGGGCAACACGGCAAAACCCTGTCTCTACAAAAAATTAGCCAGGCATGGTGGCATGCACCTGTGGTCCCAGCTACTCAGAACGCTAAGGTGTGAGGATCACCTGAGCCTGGGGGGGTCAAGGCTGTAGTGAGCCATGATCACGCCACTGTACTACAGCCTGGGTGACACAGCGAGACCCCATTTCAGGAAAGGAAAACGAAAAAGTAAAGAAAGCCTACTCAGCACTAAAGAAAGCACCCTCCCCTAATATGGTGCTGGGTCTCTGTACCCATCCAAACTATGGTTATGTGGCTACCATGGGATTCCTGAGGAATGCCGGATGGGGAGTGCTGTGTCTCGCATTTACAAACCTGGATGGTCTTCCCGTTCCTGGCTCTAACAACATCCCCTGGCTTGTTGGCCTTGCCGCTGGGCATATTTTCACAAAGAGGGGCCAGACCTATTGGAAAGAATATATGAAAGCACACAATACGTGCTGGGTCCACATGCCATCCATGGGACAAGAGGCCACCTGTGAGCCATGAGAAGCAAGACACAAAGGCCACCTTAACGCACTGATCAAACATCACCAATGACACAACTGACATGATGTGTCAGCAACAAGATGTACACATCAGCCATGTAGCATTCTTCCCAAAGAAGTCTAACTTGATTCTAATCAAGAAGAAGCAATTCAAATAAATACAAATTGCAGACTATCACGAAACAAGCCTAGACCCTTCAAAACTGCTAATGCCATGGAAGAAAATAGGAATACGGTCTAGACTCAAGAAATCTAGAGGGACATGGCACCAACGGCAACGTGTGGTCCTTGATTAGTTTCTGGATTCAAAAGCGAAATATAGGCTGGGCACAGTGGCTCATGCCTGTAATCCCAGCATTTTGAGAGGCCAAGGCAGGCAGATCACTTGAGGTCAGGAGTTCGAGACCAGCCTGACCAACATGGAGAAACCCGGTCTCTACTAAAAATACAAAATTAGCTGGGCATGGTGGTATATGCCTGTAGTCCCAGCTACTCAAGAGGCTGAGGCAGAAGAATTGCTTGAACCCGGGAGGCGGAGGTTACGATTAGCCAAGATTGCGCCATTGCACTCCAGCCTGGGCAACAAGAGCAAAACTCTGTCTCAAAAAAACCCAAAAAAACAAACAAAAAAACCCTAAGTATAAATAAATAAAATGGAAGTTTTTTTACACAACTGGAAACTTGAATTAGGTTACTGTATTAATCCTTGGAAAAGATAATGGTTTTGTCATTACATAGAACGTCCTTTTTCTTAGAGGACATGTCATGATGTCTGCAATTGACTTTTAAATAGTTCAGGAAATAAAAGGACTATGATAGTGAAGGACGAGGGCATGTCTGACAGACCTGGATTCCAGTTCTACCTTCCTTGTGCAATGGACATGACTCTGGCCATTATTATTTAATCTAAGACTCTCTCCTCCTTCCCCGTCTGCTCTGAAATGAGTATGAGCAATGCTATTACACAAACTCCCAGCACTGTGCCTGGGAGTTTGTATCTTCCACTACTAAGAACTGCCACATAATGAGCACTTTTTCTGTACTAGGCACTTTCTGTGTGTTGTGCCATTTCACCGGCCACAATCCTACGAGGCAATGAGCCAGCAATGTCCTGCCACCCCAGCTACCAAGCACATTTCATAATGTCAACTACAAAGTTGACATTATGTGCCCCTGACTGCTAACCACCTTTTGCAGAAGTAAAACAAATCAATTCCAGTTACAGCCCACGGGCTGCAAGACACATTCAGCTCAATCAGCTCAGACAGTAAAACATTTATCTGAGCTAAATAGCTTCTGCTTGATGACTATTTAAAAATCATTTCTTATATTTTCAGATTAGGGGAAATCATATTTGTTGTCTCTGTTCTCCCACCTGGCTGGAATCCAGAAGCTCTCTGAGATGTAATCCCTTGCCCCACTTACCTATAATATTAATGGGCAAATTGAGCTTTGCAGCAGACACGATGGCTGAGCATATAGTTGCAGCTCCTCCCATGTCAGCCCTCATGAGGTCCATATTTGCAGAAGCCTTGATGGAGATACCACCACTATGGGGAAACAGACAGTGTGCAATATTAATAGCAAAGAAGATGGCCAAAATTACTTTATTTAAGAAGTACAGCCAGGCACAGTGGCTCATGCCTGTAATCCTAGCACTTTGGGAGGCCGAGGCGGGCAGATCACGAGGTCAGGAAATCGAGACCAGCCTGGCTGACACGGTGAAACTCCGTCTCTGTTAAAATTACAAAAAATTAGCCAGGTGTGGTGGCACGTGCCTGTAGTCCCAGAGACTTGGGAGGCTGAGGAAGGAGAATTGCTTGAACCTGGAAGGCGGAGGTTGCAGTGAGCCGAGATCGTACCACTGCACTCCAGCCTGGGCGACAGAGCGAGACTCTGTCTCAAGGGAAAAAAAAAAAAAGACGTAAACTGAGAGTTAACCACCACATAAAAGCACCATATATGCCAAAGAAAAGTCAATTTTCTAAATTTAGAATCTGATTTCAACATTTTCAATGATGATAAATTTAGAATCTGATTTCAACATTTTCAATGATGATAGTACAGTCTTTATAAAAGACACAAAATAATTCCAGAAATATAGATGAGTGTCTTAGCTCTTTTTTTGTTTTTTGGAGACGGAGTCTCGCTCTGTTGCCCAGGCTGGAGTGCAGTGGTACGATCTTGGCTCACTGCAAGCTCCGCCTCCCAGGTTCATGCCATTCTCCTCCCTCAGCCTCCCAAGTAGCTGGGACTACAGATGCTCACCACCACGCCCAGCTAATTTTTTATTTTAATAGAGATGGGGTTTCACCGTGTTAGCCAGGATGGTCTCAATCTCCTGACCTCATGATCCGCCCACTTTGGCCTCCCAAAGTGCTGGGATTACAGGCATGAGCCACCTTGCCTAGCCTTTAGCTCATTTTATTTCTACTTGAATGAAATTTAAACAGTGCCACTGGAAACATTACTACATCATAAAATCAACACTGCAAATTCCATCTCTTTATTATCTCATTAACTCCTGACACCCACATAGTCTTTTCAGCAAATTTTATGAATTGATCAACTGATGGAACGTGAAGGTCATGAGCTGTTAAGAAAAGCTGATGAGCTCATAGACGACTGGGAGCGTTTCTCTCAAACCCACAGAAGGACAGAGGGTTAACATTTCCTTCCAACACCACACAAGGTGTGCTCTATCCTGCTGATGGCAAAATACAACCTGAATGAGGCACAGGCCCAACGGCTCAGAGACGGTACTTCAGCATGAGAACTGGATAAGGCTGCAATTAGCAAGAAACCAAACTACCTGACCCCAAGAGGCCTCTAACTAGTTAGTGGCTTTTCTGCTTCCAGTCTGCAGGAGTCCGGAAGCAACACGCTTCCCAGGCCAAGCACAGAGCCAGGGGCTTCGACTCGGAGTTCTAATTGAGATCTGCTGCTCATGTGCCCTGGTGGCTCACTGGAGAGAGGTATGCCTGCTGCTCTGAAGGCTGCTTTCCTTCAAAAGTAAGTCCTAATTCTCACTCACCTCAGCAGCACTTGTTACTTAGATGGTGGGCATGTTCACCAAGAATTAAAGATGATCCCCTGGCTCAAACAAGAAAAACACATGGGAAAACCCCATGGACAAAGGGGACACACTTTTGCATTTGAAGTTTTTCTTCTGTCCACCTGCCACATTTATCTGCAGGCCTCTTCTGGGAGTTCAGCTCTCTAATTCCTATGACTGTGGTTCTAAGGCAGCCACCAGTTAAAGATCAGCAATCAGCTTTGCTCACTTTTTCAATCTCTCTCAAATCCACCCACTTATTTTCTACTCAGCCGCCCTCGTTGATGCTACCACCCTCTGTCATTTAGATGTTTGTCAGGTCTCCTTAAAGGGTCTTTCTGTATCAGTCTCACCACTGTCATTTCATTAACCGCAAAGACAGCACATTTTTACACACACACAAAATCTATCTCAATCAAACTCTCAGTAGGTTTTGCTGTGTGAAAAAACAAGCAGATACATCGAGTGTGGTGGCTCACGCCTGTAATCCCAGCACTTAGGGAGGCTGAGGCAGGCAGATCACTTGAGCTCAGGAGCTCGAGACCAGCTTGGGTAACATGGCGAAACTCCATCTCTATAAAAAATACAAAAATTAGCTGGGCATAGTGGTGCGCATCTGTAGTCCCAGGTACTCGGGAGGTTGAGGTGAGAGGATCACCTGAGCCCAGGGAGGTTGAGGCTGCAGCAGGCTGACATTGCACCACTGCACTCCAGCCTGGGCGACAGAATGAGACCCTGTCTCAAAAAAACAAAACAAACGAACAAAAAACCCAAGCAGATTGTAAAATGTATATGAAAATGCAAAGGATGTAGCCAAAGTCATTCTGAAAAAGAAGAGCAAAGCTGGAGGACTCATGTGACTAGATTTCAAGTCTACTCAAAGCTGCTCCAGTAATCAAGATACTTGGTCTCCAGGCACTGGTGAAAGGATACAGAGTCCAGAGGCAGACCTACAATTATATGGACAACTGATTTCCACCCAAGGTGCCAAGATAGTCCAGTAGGGAAAGGACAGTCTTTTCAACAAACAGTGTTGAAATAAATGAACATCCACATAGGGAAAAAAAAGACAAAAAACAAACCACGTCTTTTCACACCATATACAAAGATTCAAAGTGAATCATAGCCTCAAAAGCTAAAACTCACTTAAAACGAAATATATTTTAAAAACCTTACAACTCTGTAAAGCAAACACTCCTACAAAAAGGGACAAAAGATTTGAATACCTTACTACAGAAGATACACCAATGTCCAATAAGCACATTAAAAAATGTCCAGTTTTGGCTGGGTGTGGTGGCTCACGCCTGTATCCCAGCACTCTGGGAGGCTGGGGCGGGCGGATCACTTGAGGTCACGAGTTTGAGACCTGCCTGGCCAACATGGTGAAAACCCATCTCTACTAAACATACAAAAATTAGCCAGGCATGGTGGTGCGTGCCTATAGTCCCGGCTACTCGGGAGGCTGAGGCAGGAGAATCGCTTGAACCCAGGAGGTGGAGGTGCACTCCAGCCTGGGTGACAGAGTGAGACTCCGTCTCAAAAAATAAAAATAAAAAACAAAAAAATAAAAAATGACCAACTTCATTAGTCACTAGAGAAATGCAAATAAAACCACAAAGAGAGATGACTGTATACTCACTGGTACAGCTAGAAATATAAAGACTGACAATATCAAATACTGAGGAAGGTGTAGAACAATTAGAATCTTTGTACATTGACGGTAGAAGTGAAAATGTAAACACTTTGGAAAAGTCTGGTAGTTTCTTGAAAGTTAAACACGCAATTATACAACAGAGTGGCTGTTTTCCTAGGTATTTTACGCAAGAGTAAGGAAAACACGTCCGCACAAAGGCTTACAGACGCTCTTAACTTTCTTCCTAATAGCCTGAAACTGGAAACAACACAAATTTCCACCAACAGATGAATGGGTAAACAACATTTAGCATTCCCATACAATGGAACACTACTCAGCAATATAAAAGGAAGAATGACTGACATGACCAACAACATAGATAAACCCCAGATACTATGCTGCAAGAAAGAAGCCAGACATGAAAGACTGCATTTATATGAATTTCCGGAATAGGCAAAACTAGTCTGCAGTAACAGAAAGATGATCGGCTGTCTGGAGCAGAGGCAGTGGGAGAATGACTACAAAAAGGCAGAAGGAAACTTCTGGGGGATGATAAAAATGTTGTACTTTCCTGACAATGGTGAATAGTGCAGAGGAGCATACATTTGTTTTTTGGTTTTCAAAATCAATCAATCTATTTATTTATTTACAGATGGTGTTTTACTATGTTGCACAGGCTGCTCTTAAACTCCTGGGCTCATGTAATCCTCCTGCCTCAGCTTCCCAAGTAGCTGAGATCACAGGTGTACGCCACTGCACCCACCCGGGTGCACGCATTTGTTCAAACTCACTGAGCTGCTCACTTAGAGGGTGAATTTCACTGTATGTATAAATCTCATGTCATTCCGTTTGCTGGAAACCCTTCAGTTACTTCGAACTGTTCTTAGAGCAGAGTCCAAAATCTAAACAGGCCTGCAGCGACCAAGCTTCTGTGTACCTCTCTGGCCATATCTTGCCCCTTCTGTCCATCACGCTCTTGTGTGCAGGCACACCGGTACTCTTGCCATACCAGGAATTTACCCTGCTCCTTCCCACCTTGCAGCCTTCACCATGTTTCCCTGTACTAGAATGCCTGTCCCTAGTCTCTGCTGGGCTAATTCCCCCTGATCCTTCCCATCTTCAACTAAAACTGACACTGCTGCAAGGAAGCCTTTTCTAAACCCAAAGGCGGCTTTGGGTTTAGGCCTTTGGGTTTAGACCTCTTTGTTTTTATTCTCAGCAAAAAATGCAAACGTGGATTTAAATTAACAATAAATTTCACCCTTAGCATAAAAATATTTGTGTCACAATTGGCAAGACATTTAAAAACAGTTTAGGGCCAGGCGTGGTGGCTCACACCTGTAATCCCAGCACTTTGGGAGGCCAAGGTGGGTGGGTGGATCACGAGGTCAGGAGTTTGAGACCAGCCCGGCCAATATAGTAAAACCCCGTCTCTACTAAAAATACAAAAAAATTAGCCAGGCGTGGTGGCAGACACCTGTAATCCCAGTTACTCAGGACTAAAAATACCAAAAAAATTAGCCGGGCATGGTAGCAGGCCCCTGTAATCCCAGCTACTCAGGTGGCTCAGGCAGGAGAATCGCTTGAACCAGGGAGGCAGAGGTTGCAGTGAGCTGAGACCATGCCAATGCACTCTAGCCTGGACAACAGAGCGAGATTCTGTCTCAAAAAAAAAAAAAAAAAAAAAAGGTGGCTCACACCTGTAATCCCACCACTGTGGGAGGCCAAGGCAGGCAGATTGCTTGAGCTCAGAAGTTCAAAACCAGCCAGGACAACATAGTGAGACCTCGTCTCTACTAAAAAAGAAAATTTAACTTTCTAAATTGTATTTGCTGTATTGTTTTTACGATATACGTTTTAGTACAATAGTATAATGCATGTAACTTATAAAAAAGCATGCATATTTTGAAAGGGACGTGCTCAAGATCTTTTACCAACGGGCTATACCAGGAAAACCATTTGGAGATCAATGCTTTAAAGAAGAAAATGTGAACTAGGGGGTGGGAGACACAAGAGGCACTTTGACCTGCTAACACAAGGAGACCACACTGGCAGCAAGCTATGCCAATGACAGGGGCTTCCTACATCTAGAAGAGTTCCAGAAAGGGCACAAAAATGTACGAGGGGACATCAACATCTTATGGTTCTCTGGTAAATCTTCCAAAGTAGTTTGCAGGTAATGTGATTCCCAGAAATCAGGGTTCCTTCAAAAGGAAATACAGAAAATGCTATATTCTCTACCCTGAGAAGTCCTGTAGTTAACCAAATAAAACGAAAATGAAACCCCTCATGTATTTCTCTAACCTAGATTTTTTGCTAAGTAGCCCTTTTTACACCTCATACTCGCTGGCATCCCTGAAACTTGTGTTTGGTGGCAAATGCTTCCCATGGGAAATACCAAACTCCACCGTCTTTCTCAGTTCAGTCTCTCCTTGGTTGACATAACCAGATATAGTTTCCAACTCTAAGAAATACTTATGGTTGAACCAGATTCATGGGAGCTAGACTGGTCAGCTAAAAGAAGTAATCATCTGAAGCAAGCAAAGGGAAGACAGCACAGTCCAAACAGGGGCATCACCACTAACCTCGTGGAGAATCTCTAACAGCCACAGAGGACAAGCAAAGTGCATGGCAGAAAAATCTGAAGACACTTTAGGCAGAGCACAGTGGCTCATACCTACAACCCCAGCACTCTGGGAGGCTGAGGTGGGAGGACTGCTTGAGACAGCGGTTTAAGACCAGTATGGGCAACATAGTAAGAACTCATCTCTATATTTTTTTTAAAAAAAGGACACACCTGAGTTTGACTTCTGACTCCACTTCTAGTTAAAGAACTTTGAACAAATTATTTAAACTCTGAGTCATGGTTTCTTTACCTGTAGAATGTCTACAATACCTAGCCCACAGGGGTATGGTTAGGGCTAACACATGCAAAATACCTTACCGTCTCTGACATATTCTAAGCATTTTAGAGGTGGTAGCATAATAAATTTAAAGTAATGTATACCTTCAGCCAAACACCATGCTTTTGAATCAAACTATAAACCTGCCAGGCGCAGTGGCTCACTCCTGTAATCTCAGCATTTTGGGAGGCTGAGGCGCAAGGATTGCTTCAGCCTGGGAGGTGGAGGCTGCAGTGAGCTGAGATCGTGCCACTGCACTCTAGCCTGGGTGACAGAGTAAGACTATGCCTCAAAAAAAAAAACAAAACAACAACAACAAGAAGAACAAAAATCAAACAAAAAAACCCCCTATCACCAAGTAATTTAACTGCATACAAATAATTCACCAAAATACAAAACACAAACACCATAAAAAATACCTGTCAAAGGTAATTCCTTTCCCAACAAACACCAGGGGTGGTTCGTTTGCATTGGGGCTGCCTTTGTAGTGAATTTCCAAGAAGACTGGGGGCTCATCAGATCCTTTGGCCACACTGAGGAATGATCCCATTGCCTGTTCCTCAATCCAAGACTTGGGTCTATAGGGCCGAAAGAGGGAAAAAGTAAATATACTGTTAGGTTTATTTCAAAATAACAGAAAAAGCTCATCACAGTGTGTGGAAACATATAATATACAAGCTCTTAAAGTATACACACATTAAGGTTTCAATTATCAGGTCCCATTATTTGCTTTCTGTATATTCTTGGGCAAGTCACTTGATTCTAAGCCTATCTCCTCATCTATAAAATGAGGTCTGTAACTCTTTCATCACAAGATGATCGAGTTACTAAGAGAAGTCATGTAAGGTACCTAATACAATGTCAACTAATAGTCTGTAGTCTATATAATTAATTTCCTCCCTCCAATCTACTCAGATATTTCTACAATTTTAATTTAAAGATGAAGTTAGAAGGCCGGGTGCGGTGGCTCATGCCTATAATCCCAGCACTTTGGGAGGCTGAGGTGAGAGAACTGCTTCAGCTCAGGAGTTCGAAACCAGCCTGGGCAAAAAAGTGAAACTGTCTCTAAAACAAATAAGGTAAGATATAATAAAGATGAAATTAGAGGCCAATGCAGGAGGATTATTTAAGCATAGAAATTTGAGACCAGCCGAGGCAACAAGTTGAGACTCGGTCTCTACAGAAAAAGAAAAAAAGACAAAATTAGCCAGGCATGTTGGTGCATGCCTGTTGTCCTAGCTATTGCGGAGGCTAAGACAAGAGGCTCGCTTGAGCCCTAGAGGTCAAGGCTGCAGTGAGCCACGATCTCGCCACAGCACTCAAGCTGGGCAACATAGCAACACCCTGTCTCTTAAAAAAATAAAATTAGGAATAGGCTCTGAGACCACAAAGAGTGCTTGAAGATAGGTAAGATACAAAACACAAACACCATAAAAAATACCTGTCAAAGGTAATTCCTTTCCCAACAAACACCAGGGGTGGTTCGTTTGCATTGGGGCTGCCTTTGTAGTGAATTTCGAAAATGTGAACTAGGGGGTGGGAGACACAAGAGGCACTTTGACCTGCTAACACAAGGAGACCACACTGGCAGCAAGCTATGCCAATGACAGGGG